AATTTATGGTGTAAACATATTTATAAAAAAAAAACTTAATCTCTTATAAATAAAATAAATAAATTTAAATTATAATAAGATGAGAAATGTATTTATTTGTAATTCCTAAAAAATTTAGGAGAGAAACGCTTTAAAACTATAATTGCGTTCTTTCTCACTATATTTTTTCACATAGGACCTCGTAAAAATATTAATTTATTATAATAAATTAATTTTAATTGACCTTTTGTATAATTTTATATTCATATTAATATATCAAAACTAAAAAGTGTTGCACTGGTAGCGGAAAACATAAGCAAACACGACCGCAGACTGTAACAACAGCATCTTCTGGTGGTTCCTACAGAATGACCAAAAAAAGGGAAGTAATTATTGTGGCATACACATGTAAAAGGAAGCCAACGAAATTCATTAAAACAAAGGCAGAAAAAGAAAGAAGAGAAAAGAACAACATACATTGTAAATGCCGCAGAAAGCCATAGAAGCTTCTAAACGACTGAGAAGTGATGTTATCTTCTCACTAGGAAGCTTCTTTGCTGTTTCAGGTTCAGCTGCGTATCTCCATAAAGCGCTTGAACCAGAACCCTCGACAAGAAGAGGGTGATTGCAAGCTTGGCGAAGGTGCAGAAACATAAGCAAAATGTTGAAGTAGTTTACTTTTTACTGTCCCAGCAGCAACATACTCCTATTATAAAATTTAAATTCAATGAATTAGCAAGAGAAAGAACACAAACTAATCAATATGTAAAATTACTCAGTCAAAACCATACTCTAAACTGAGTACGAGAACCATTCTCTAATGTGGTGTAGAAATCTCGTTCTTTCATCTGTAAAATCCACCTTTTTAAGTTCTACTACTTCGGGAGGTAGAGTAATAATTGGTTTCCCATCAAGAAGAGTTCCTAGCACAAAAGGAAAATGAATGATAAGTGATTTCAGCTAGTTGCAAGCCAATGCAAGTCACAAATTGTACAGGTACTCACCTTCAGTTCCACACACCAGAATTGTCTTCAAGATGGATTGTAGCTTCAGATATCCTTTTGCAGGATGACAAATAATTGGGCTTGGTATTGCAGTGTGGAATGCTTGGAGTGTCGACAAAGGGTAATACTTGAGAAATCTGAAGTAGCTATAGAGGTCATTAATTGTATTTTGAATAGGAGTCCCTGACAAACACCATCTACGTTTAGCACGAGGACCCCAACGGGCATTAGCAGCTCGAGTTCTGTGATTCTTAATAATCTGTGCCTCATCCAGAATAACCCTAAACCATCCAACTTTTGAAAGTGGTCCAGAAATAAAGTCCCGCACCAACTCTTCACCTCTTTTCCGATGTTTGTTGCCTTTTTATCAAAAGTGGGTTCGTGCTTTCTTTTTTACTTGATTTAAAAGTCGAAGCTGGAAAACCAACACCATCTGACTTGCATTTCCCATTGTCATCTTCACCCACAGAATGCTTCTTTGGGACCTCCATGCTGACAATTGAGTATGTTGTAAGGACATCATCATGCTTAATCAACTGAAAAGGGATCCGTTGCACGGTTGCTCCCATGATACACCAGGACAGAGAGATTAGCTTCCTTAGTCACCTTATTTTGCAGCTCTGCTGCCCATTGAAGTAGTACACTTTTGGGACAGACCACAAGAGTTCCAGCTGCTGGCCTTCCCTCTGCTTGCCCCAGAGGTAATGACATTCCCGTCAAACATCCATCCGATTTCATGTCACGGTTCTCAAATTCTTGTTTTATTCCTTCAAGACCTGTAGCCCTGTCATCATCACCATCCAAACTAATAACAGTTTCTGGCTCAACCTTGACATTGGAGGAGAATTACCCTCCCTCAAAGGTCCATTCGTGTGACAGTTTCCAGATCCTTGTTTTATTCCTTCAAGACCTATAGCCCTGTCATCATCAGCATCCAAATTAACAACAGTTTCAGGCTCAATCTTGACATTGTCTGAATGTGCTCTGAAGGATGGAGGCCTTTCACTAAGAATAAGTGGTCAAGTGAAATGGTTGAAACCGTTTTTCCCAATCCCTGCAACAACAGAACACACCATAAATATGTAGTTCTGATGTTGTAACAAATACCTTTTAATGTAAGAAACTTACTTGATCATCTGCAAGAATTCCTCCTAAGCAGTACTGGTTAGCTGTCTCTTTCTGGATCATCCATGACAAAGCAATACGCTGTCAAGGAAATAAAGTTACAGATTAAGTAGTATTGAACACACAGAGAAACATTTACAAAAAAAAAAAAAAACAACTCACCCACAGGACACATACATATGACAAATGTATAAAATAGTGTGTCAACTTCCTAAAATTGAAATGCCTAAACGAGAATAAATTAACAGATAAAATTACAAACATGATGTCTCATGAGATGTACTGTCAGTAATCCATCCAGTGAACTAGCTTCTGACTTAGGTTGAGAGAGGTCCTGTAATGCAAGAATGTTAAGCCATCAAAAACACTACAGGTGGAATCAGAGTTAATATAGGCAAACTAGATATTCAAAGATGCAACAACAAACTGTTAATGAAATCTTATTTCTCATGGAAAAAAAAAAAAGGGAAAAAAAGAAAAAAAGACGCAACAGTAAAGGCTGTGTTAATTTTAAGGCCTTTATGAACAAGTACGTACTAATTAAGGTTTAATTTTGGGCACAAGCAGAATATGCATTTAAGATCAATATGTCCAGTTTGAGTACTTTAACCCTCCAGTAAGAATTAAAAACAGAAAAAGCAAAACTATAAGAGAGACATCATGTTTCCAATCAATAATTATAATTAACTCTCAACTAAACTCATATCTAAACCTGTAATGTAAGGTTGGTTGAGAGTTAGTTATATGGACGGATTAAAAGAGGACGGAGAATTAAAAAGCACTAACCTTAACTGCGATCCTAAAAATATAGAATTCATCAATTGGCTTTGACCTGGAACTTCCTAATCCAGGATAATGAAGAGGATCACTATGTGTAGAATGTTGGAAATTAGTGGTCTTTTTTTGCCATCGCAGGTATGTGAATACATTTATCAGGGTCATCATCTTGATGGGACCTGTGCATGTTAACTGATGAATTGCCATGATGAATTGATTGAGGACTCACTTTTGGGAGACCCATGCTCGTAGAATTTGCAAATTATTGGTCTTTTGACCTGATGGATTGCTATGAGGACGACTCACTTTTGGAAGACCAACTCTACTAGAATGTTGCAAGTTGGTGGTCTTGTCTACAAGCGCATGTATGTCTTGAAGAATATGACCTCATGAATTGCCATGAGGAGGACTCATGTTTGGAAGACCCATGCAAGTAGAATGTTGCAAATTAGTGGTCTTTTTTATAAGCGCATGTATGCCTTGAAGAATACGTATATCAGGGTGTGAATTGCTGTGTGAACTGATTGAGGACTCACTTTTGGAGGAACCATGCTCGCCGCTGCAAGAAACACTAGTGCGTGGAGGCAAGCATATTTATAGGCCTATAACCCGCACCTCCAGTCCAAATTGGACCAGGATTTCCATTTCCATTATTTTTTTTCTTGAATCCAAGCACAACTTCTACTTCAAGATGAAGATCAGTCGGATCATCGTCAACAACCAGCATCCTCAGACCCCCAGCAAACTGATCGGGAACACCAGCTCCAGTTCTCCAAGAGGCGCTGGGGATAGTCATGGAGATGGATCCTTTCCCGTTACTAGGATTCATACACAGAAATACTTTTGACCCCAGAAACAAGAAAAACGGAGGAAATTTTGCAGAAAGGTACAAAATTTCACATGCCTGAACTGCTCGGCATCAAAAACCAATCTTTTTGAATACCCAATTCGAAATTAAAATAAATTGAAATACCCAGTTGAGAAAAAGCAAAAAAGGAAAGGCGCCAAGGACATTCCTCTGCTCATAAGATCATCTTTTGTCAGCGACCGATCCAACAAAAGGCGCCAACCAAAGAAGCTTACTTTTGACAGGGTGAACATATTCCACAGCATTTTGTTTTTTGTTTGTTCTTTCTCTACTCTCTTTATTTTTCAATGATTCCAAGCGGGGATCTGAAGGGGAAATTGAAAAAGAGTAGAATCGAGTTAGGGAAATCAAAGGATAGAATAATAAAAAGAGGAAAATCGAAGAATAAAATGTAATTAAGTTATTGAAAATGAAGAATTTACGGAAGGAATTCATATTAAGGGTTTGTGAATTTCTAGAAATAGGGGAAAGCCCTTTTTTTTTTTTTTTTGAGAAATGCAAACTTGGGGATAACTGCTTTAATTTGAAACCGCATCTCGTTTTAATAATTCATTTTGCTTAAAAATTAACACTACCTCTTGTAAAACTAGTTTACCATTAATTTATAAGTCCAACTTTCTATAAAATAAAAAAATACATAAATTAGTCCAACGAATTAATTAGTAATAATTGAAAGTGAGAAAATACAAAAACAGGACTTTCACATTAAAGAAGTGATAAAAAAATTATAATAGAAATAAGAAATTTTGAGTTAAAATCATATAATATTTAGTTAAAATAAATTAAAGTATAAAAAAATTATTTTTAATTATGTAATTTAAAATAAAATTATAATAATGATAAAAAATTTAAACTCATGCCATATTTTATTTTTACATATTTAACAATTATGATCGGATATTTTAAATTTTTACATATCAAGAGATATTGATATTTCTTTTTTCTTATTATGTTGATAAGATAAATTAAACCAATAAATTTCAAATTATCCCTGAATTATTTATTAGTAATTTCTAGTCTAACTAAAAGGCTTAAGTATTGAACAAGGACCTTAACTTTTACTAAATTTTCAATTGAGATCCTTAACATTTATTATGCTCAATCAAGGTCTTAAGCTAATGCAAACTCTCAAATAAGGACCCAATTGGATGGAATCCTAACCATCCGTTAAGTCTAACATTACACACGTTATAATCCATTACCCTTCAATACGTTGCATGCCAACTAGACAATAAAATGCATTCTCGGACGTGCCATGTTGTAATCCCACATGTCTCCTTTTTCTCCCATCTCTCCTCTTCCTTCCCACTCCTCCACAATTCAGGGGCGAAATCCCTAGAATTTTCAGTCTGCTTTTTTCCTGTGTAGGGTCTTCTTCTCCACCCAACAACAGCCCACCCCATCCCTACAACTTCTCTGCCCAACAGTTGGCCTCTCTCCGTGCAATTTCTTTTCGTTCTCCGCCCAATAGCCGGCCTTTCTCCATGCAAGATCTGCTTCTTTTTCTTAGCCGAGTAGCTAGCCTCTCTTTGTGCCCAACAGCTGGCCTCTCTCCGTGCAAGTTATTCTTGTTCTTCGCCCAACAGCCGACCTTTCTCCATGCAAGATCTGCTTATTCTTCTTCGCCGAGTAGCCGACCTCTCTCTGTGCAAGACCTTCTTGTTCTCTGCTCAATGACCGACTGTGCAAGATCTTCTTCTTCTTCCTCGTGCAGCAATAGCCCACCCAATCCTTAGAACTTTCCCAAGCAATCTCTAGTCCCATTCCACAAATTGGGGGCTGAAATCCCTAGAATTTTCATTGCCAATATCTTCCCCATTACTTCGATCTTGATCTTCTTCTTCTCTTCTTTGGTGCTATTGAAGAAAGGCCATAAGACTTCCAACACCCCAAATGTAATGAGATACAATAAAAAAAATATAAGTGATCAAGAATAAAAAAAATTGATAAATTAAATAAATTGACCAAATAAAATTAAAGAAATCATGTGCAATTCAGATAAAAAGTTTAAATCAAAAAATAAATTTAAAAATTAATAAAAATATTAAAATCATTTCACAACTCAAATAAAATCACATAATCGTACCTAAATGCGGTTGAATCTACACAGAAATACAAGGAAAAGTTGTTTAAAAGACCCACCAATTAGTAAAAGCCTCAAATTGACTTTGAAATTCTCAAAAGTCATTTTCTATTGACCAAGTTATAGGCAATAGTTTTAGGATTTTTATATTAAATAAGTATTAAATACTCAAAGATAAAAAGGAAAAGAAGTTTTGTGGGATCAATCTGGTCTCTGGAGGGAAAGATCTATCACAACATGTCACGTTGGACAATTTTTTTATTGTCAACATTATGGGTCCAATTGGCATGCCACATGTTGGGAGCTGTAACAGATTCTAATGGGCGTCATGTTAGACTTTAACTCGGATGATTAGCATTCCATCCAATTGGGTCATTATTTGAGAGTTTGCATGAGTTTGAGGCCTTGATTGAGCAACATAAACATCGAGGACCTCAATTGAGAATTTAATAAAAGTTGGGGTCCTTTTCCAATACTTAAGCCTAACTAAAATTACCATTTTCTTATTTTAATTCTAGAATTATTACTCCAACAAATCCTACATTGAGATGATCTGCATTTTACCCTTGTTTGAACACAAATTAATCAAAGTTTTTACATGGCAGCTCTTTCCCATCATGAAAATTTAAACTCCATGATCCAAAAGAAAACTGTTTCAGTTATCTTGGTGACATTGTGGAATGACTAAAGGTAGCCCGAGATGATGGATGAGTGGTGATGGTGAAGGAGCTGTTCTGATTGAATTCCCTCTTCATGGCTCTGTAAACTTGATCCAACCCTTCTTCATTCAATTCCAAAACCGAGTGAGGCACTGGTGGGATTTTGATTTCAACTGATCCTTCCAACATCTTCACCACTTCTCCCATCGACGGCCTCATGAACACTTCATCCTGTATGCACCAGAAGGACACTTTTAATGCTCGAGCTAGCTCTTCTTCCTCCACTGCCCCCTGCAGTCGCGGGTCTGCGACTTTCTTCGGAGTCCCATTTGTCATCTCCTACAAAAGTTTCAATCCCAACGTGATTAATCCTGGTTAGAACAAGCTCTAGTAAGAGAGATTAGCTTACCTTAAAGGCCCAGCCAGGATAGAAGAAGTCTTCCACATCATAAGACATGTCAAGGTTCCTCCGGCCACCAATAATTTCCAACAGCAGCATTCCGTAACTATAAACATCAGCCTTTACAGTGACAGGACGGTTGCTGATCCACTCTGGCGCCACATACCCTCTTGTTCCTCTAACCATGGTGACAACATGCGAGTGCTCCCTCCCCATCAACTTTGCCAGTCCAAAATCAGATATTTTTGGACAGAAGTTCTCATCTAACAGTATGTTCTCCGGCTTGATATCGCAATGAATTATCCGGTTCCTGCACTGCTCGTGGAAATATGCGATCCCTTGTGCAGTGGCAATGGCAATGTTGAAGCGGTTCTGCCAGTCTAGCAGCCTGTCCCGATAATGGTAGGATGGAAAGATCCATTTATCCAAAGAACCATTTTTCAAGAATTCATATACCAGAAGCCTACAGATGTAGATTCTCCGAAGATAAGTCATATTTCTGCTCCAATTATCCAACAAAATAGCCATGAAATTGTTTATTAATGAAGAGGTGCTTACCGGTGTGAACCCTCAGAACAGTAGCCACAGAGTTGGACCAAGTTCATGTGATGCATGGAGCCAATGGTGTTTACTTCTGCAGTGAATTCTCTTTCTCCATGGGACAAAACACGGTCAAGTTTCTTTACAGCAACCAGAGTTCCATCTACAAGGCTTCCCTTGTATACACTACCGAATCCTCCTGCAAAAGAAGCACGGTAGTAACTAAAACAGTTCAACTCAGCAATTCCCCGTTTTTTTCCCCTGTTTTTATCCAAATTTCCTCTGTTTTTCCCCGTGTTTTAACCATGTTTTGTAAAGAGTTTGGTTACTCACCCGCTCCAAGCAACTGGGAAAAGTTGGAGGTACAGGTTTGCAGATCCCGGTAGCTGAAATTCGCTGGAGCACCAGATAGAATCAAAGAACTTTCCACAGCTTTCTTTAGATTTCTCCTTCTATTGACATTATAGTACAATAATAGACAGAGGAGCCCAATGAGGAGAACAAGGCACAGTACAATAGGAAGAATCACAACTTTCTTAGGGGCATCTCCAGAATCATGTGAAGTGTCACCCAATGGGGTATTAGCTCTGATCTTTACAAAAATGGTGGAGCTAGAATCCAAAAAACCACCAAAGTCCAGGTTCCTCAGTAACCAACAGTAAGGATCTGCATCATCTAACCCATATACAGAAGCAATGCATTCACAATCTGATAAACAAACATCCCCGCATTGTGACGCTGTGGTCATGTCACTGTGATTTGTTATCACTGAGAAATGAGAGAAGTAGTATTTGGTTTGCTGCACGGTTGCCATCTTGAATTCACTTGTTTGATTTTGGTTATGGGGATCACATTTTCCAATCAAGGAAGAGTTTTCCCAGCAATGGCTTTCACTTTCACTGCCTGCCTTAGAAGTACCAGGCAAGCATGTGCATGAAGCATTAGTATCATTGCTGTCCAAACTGCATATCCCATTTCCACATATTCCAGCAATATCACAAGGATTGTCAACTGCAGTCCATTCAAGAACCCACTGGTGCAACCCATTAACTCTATTATCCCATCTATACAAACGCAGATTTCCATTGCTCTCAATAACCAACCTCCGAAAAACTGCTAGTGGCGTATTGGAAATGGACTGATTTGCAGCTGAAGACAATGCAGGGTCACTAGCATTATTCTGGTACAGATACGCCGCTCCATTTCCTGATTCTCCATACACAATTCCAAAGCTTCCTGCTTCATCTAGTACTGCAATAACGTTTCCAGTGACATCTGATATATCTGGTCCGTACCAATAAGATATATAATCTTCAAAAGAAGAGTCATTATATGATTCAAGCAAGTTGTATGTCAAGACAAGGTTTAGTGAAGTGGGTTGTTGAAGCATTTTGAGGGCATAATAACCAGCTTGTGATGGCAATTTTGATGATGTTAACTCCATTGAGACTCTCAAGGGCTGGTTAGGGACAAGGGTATCCGAAGGGTGCTCAAAGCTCTGCCACACTGGGCTGCGGTTGGAGGTATAGAGGACAAAGTTGCCAGATTCTAACATGAATGCAGACTCAGCCCCATCACCTGACGTGTTTGATGCCCAAACAGCAGCGTTTCCATCAACAAGGACCAGGTTTCCGGTGGTGTCCAACTCCAAGATTGCATCTTTGGTGACTGGAGAGTTTCTATTTAGATAATCATTGAGAGAAAAAGTGTCGGCTTAAAGTTCTACATCATATTACCGGCAAGAGCTTTTGTAAAAGACTAGAGATAGAGGGAGAACATGGTTTTCTGATCTTTTTACCAAGTCAAAACCCTCCAAAACAGCAAGCACCCAGCAAATTACAGAACATATTCAACAATTAATTGCACAACAAAATCATCCTCAAACACTTAAAAACACTTCTTTCTGTAAATTTTGAACTGATAAAAACCTACCTGTTAGCTGACCAAACTACAGTTCTATCTCCAGGAAGCTGCGCAAACCAAATCCCTATTAGAAGGCGATCATGGGTGTCTGAGGGAGTGAACCCAAAAGCAAAAGTCCCATTATCTGAAACCCAACTTTCTCCATTTCTAGCCGACAGTTTGGAACCCAGACTAATCTGGCTAGCAGCAGCAATGCAGCCACCAACACCTGCAAGGAAAAATAAGAGTACCCAAGAAGCAGCCATGGCGAGCTACTCCTACTACTAGAGAGGTTACTTAAAATCAAAGTACAGTATTTATAGCGGTGGGGTAGCAGAAGCAAGAAGTGGGGAAGAAAAACGGGGAGACGAAAAGAGTAGTGCTGGAGTGGTTGAGCTAAAGCTTTGAAAAAACACGCGTAATGGACGGACGGCAGAGAAACGAAATTGAACATGGCGTTACGTGGCGGACGCTGTTTGGGCGTCAATGGTTCTCTTAACAACCAAAAGCCAGAAGCTTTTTTGGCACAGAATTTGATTGGAGCAATCTGCATATAAATTCTCCTAATCTTCATCCCGTTTCATATGAGAATGACGGAATTTGAAAATTAAGAAGCGCAGTCGCCCTCGCCTTGACATTGACTTATAGCCTCCAAGGAGCAAGCTGGACTCGAGCCTCTACTGCTTGAAACGACGTCGTTTGGACCATGGTCACCGTTTCATCTCCTACCGGGCTGTTTCTGCTTCAATCCCTTTCGCCTTTCTACTTCAGGCCCTCAGAAGTTGTAGGGTGTATGGCATTCAATTTGGTGAGTTCTGTAGTGTTTTCCTTTACCCACTTACCAAATTTGATGCCAGTTCCTGTTGTGTAGGACAAAGTGTCATGCCTATTAGGGGATTTTGCTGCTGTGTTATATCATGTGAGTTCCTTTACCCAATATTTGTGCAACTACATTTGTTTGCATTTTTCCTGCCTGGTTCTGCAGAGTTATATCAGGTGAATAATTCCAGAAGACAGTTTGAGTCTGTAGATCTATGGAGTTTAGATACCACTGCGCTCGGTTGGTCTTATAAAGATTCTTATATATTGTCTTTCTCAGTACAGATATAACTGCTTTATGTATGTTCTAGTTTATTGGAATGGTAGAGACGCTTGTTTATTTGTTCCATCATGTTAGGTTATTGGACATGTGGAATAGATGTTTGCTTCTTGTTAAATATTTTGTGCAACCAAAAGCATTCTCTGTGTAAATTGAATGCTTAGATTCTCTAGTTATTGCTTCTTGCATTGAAGGGGATACACCAGGGGGACCGGTTGGTTTCAAGTCACTTTCTATTTCTGACTTTAGGCTTAGAAACCTAGGTCAATGTCCATTTCGTTCTCCAACATCTCTAGGGACCATTGTCTGCCCTATTTCTTATTGTAGTAGGTTCTTTGTAGCTAGATAATTACCTTTATTTTGAATGAAAATGACACAACTCTTTACAACCTTTAAAATTTGAGATGATTCTAACTCACCACCACTCAGACTGTTAGTGGATGCAAAAGCTCAAAATTTCCTTACCAAGGGAACTTGATGATATTTGTTTCTTCCCTCTCTTCAACTTGCAATTTCAGATATATCAGTTTAAATGATTGAAGGACAAATGGTTGGTATTCTTTTAATTTATCTATTTTTGTCCTGAGCATTAGAAGTTTAATTTATGTTCATTGTCTTGTATCCTTGTTCTGATGTTGTATTGAATCAGTAACAGTGAATGTTATTGTGATGTTTGAACTTAACTTTTCTTAATCCTGTTGTTACATCTCTATTCCTTTTCCTTCTTGTCATGTAAGGTACATTATAGGACGTGTCAGATTTGTTATTCTCGTTCCCTTCATGGTTAGAAATTCTTCCAAGCATGAATTGAAGTTATTCTTTTATTCTAGTTTCAGGGAACATCTTGGTATAAGTAAAGTAGTGCAGCTTATGGTTTCTTGAGGGACTGCTAATTTGAATAATCTAAGAAAATACGTGAACCATGTTTCTTTGCCCCTTCCCCTTTAATTACTTCTGTATTCTGATCTGGTATGGAGTAAACAAACTTGTAAGGTGACGGCCATCTATTTTGTAAAGTTTTAAAAGTGAATGTAGGGTAGAAGGATTGATGAAACAAGACAGTGTGAGTGCTTGTGGGGGCTCACGTCTCTGTTCTTCTCTCCTTTTCCCTTTTCAATTATTAAAATTCATTGTCTTTTTTCCTGAACAATCAATCATGTACTGAACTGTTTGGAAGAGGATGTTGAGGTGTATATAAATAGATTGTGGAGGAAGCGGCCCTTTGCTACCACCCACCTTGTAGTCCTTTTCCCTTACAATATAAGTTTAATATTTCCTCCTTTTGTTTTCTGCGTATCCTTGCAGACTGATAGCCATGGAAACTTCCCAGCCTCTGTCTATTGAAAGTTTTTCATATAGTTGGTTAGTGAATCTGAAACCATCTTTGGAAAGCCTGGATAGCTCCCTTAGGGCATCAATTGATGCATGCGATGAGGCTTCCTTCATTGAGATGGACCCGAGAATGCCACCCTCCAGGAGATTCTTTAGGACCTCTGAAGATATCAAGTTTGATTTTCCAATCTCACCATCTCCTCTTACCCTTGTTCATGCTGACCAACTCTTTTCCAATGGTTACTTGATGCCTCTCTTTGTTGATCCCTCGAAGATTGAGGCATGTGAGGATTCTGATTCAAATTCAGCCCTTCCTACCTCCTCACATCCACCAAAATTTTTTCTTTCAGCTACCAAACTGAAATGTTCTTCTTGGAGAAAGTACCGAAAAATGTCTAAGCAATTGTTTTTGAAGTACTTGGATTTTCTCAGGCCATTATATCAAAGGATACGAGGATGCAACTCAAGTGACAAAGCCAAAGGTGTTGATGCAAGAGTAAAGGTAATGAAGAACTGGGTGTATTCAGCAGAAACATCTCCGCAGATAAGCCTAGCATACTCAGCTGATAATAGGCGCCAGTCTTGTGATTCAGAAAGCTCCATTTATGAAGCAGTTCTGCATTGCAAGAGATCCATTGGTATGTTGATCTTCGCCTGTTTATCATTACTGCAATTGATTGCTTTAGAAAGATTCTGGTTTTGATACCAATTGTTAGCATTTCGTTTTTAGGAAAATGAATGGATGAAGATCACTCTCAAATCCACATGGGAGAGAGGAAATAAGAAGCGTTGAGATGATGATCATTAGAAGTCACTTGTTCTTTGTCCTGTTCTTCTCCTCTTCCTTTTGGATGATAATGTAAATTTGGCATGTAAGAAAGCTAAAATATGCAGATAAATTCTCCATTTAATTCGGGCCTAAAGGGGAAAAGGAACCATGGAAGGCCACCCCCCACCCCCCCTTTTTTTTTCCTATATATCAATTTGTGTAGAAGACGAGGATCAAACAAATAAAATTTCTCAAATTTCATTGTTTCTAAATCTTAAAACTCAAACAAGATCGATCTGTCTTGACAATCAATCAGATTTTCCAGAACTACTTGTTTTAGCCATGTCAGTCCTTAATGTCTGGAAAGCACAGCCCATGCAAGTTTTAATGTCATGCTTAGAAAAGCATGCTTTCAACTGTCTTCAATTAGAGCTGTTGTTTCATTAAGATAATCCATCTCAATTGCAACTTTTATTAAGGCAAAGCATTATTTTGTTCTCTCCTTTCCCCATATTCATCTTATCTTGCTCTCATTTTCAGATCCCTGCCTCTCTCCTCATGCTAGAAGGGAGCAAATCCGTTAAACCCAGAAGCTCAAATTGTCTTTATCTCATCCTTTCCAAAACAATCAAATAGAAGTGAACTTGCGAATAAACTATGTTAATCCTAGTTGGTTAGTTATTGGTTGTTTTCTTTGCTAGTAAGCCCAATTGATAAAAAGAGTTTCTTTTTACTTGATTGATTGAGATTTGATTCTTGAGAATGTTATAATCTCATGAATTTTTAGTTGCAACATAAATAATATGACTTTAATTAAATTTGGTAGATTAATTTGATTTAGTAATGTTTGCCAAGGAGAATACCCTGTCTTCCACTCTTCATTACTTGGTTTAGACTTAGATGCAAAGAATTTTAAAACAAGCAAGCATATGCTTCACATTTCGGCAACCTTTGATTCCTTGATGACATTTGAGCAAAATACCATATGAACCAAGCTTCTGCTATTGTAACACAATCATGCATATGGCTCCTTCTATGCCCTTATCTTTGCAGCAGTATTCCACTACACATTTTGATGTAGCTTTTTACCTACCCCTTTAGTTATGATTAAAAAAATCACTTAGGGAAGACAAGCTCATCATAGACCAAATGTGAGTTACATGGTTGAATTGAGAATTATTTTATGTTGGAAATCATCATGGAGGATTTTACTAAGTCCAAAAGGTTGACAAAGGGTTTATAGCAACATCATCATGCAAACTTTACCATCTACAAATTTGTCTCTCATGTCAAGAACAACTTCAAAATTTATTTCCCAAAAACAGAAAATAGAAAAAGTAACAACCTTAAATTTAAGGGTTAAATTCTTTTATTTACCTATGGTCATTGTTTTCTTTATCAGAGAGAACCAAGGAAGTTATGGTCCCCCAACATCATGGGTTCCAACATGTGAAATGGGCCATGCCTTAAAAAAAAAAAGATGCCCATTTCTCTCTAGGCCGTTTTTTTCCATCTTCCAACTTAAACCTATGTGGCCCAATTTTTGCCTTTCTATTCTTTTTGGTTTTGGCCGGTCCATATGTTTTTGGATCAATTTTCGGCATCCCAAGACTAAATACTAATACATCGTTAAACAATCATAAGACTAATACATTGTTAAACAATCATAAAAGAGGCACTTTTATATTAGCTCAGTATTTTTAAAAAATTAATTTTTTTATATTATTCATTAGATTTAAACTTGAAATCTAATTTATAAAACAATACTTATTAATAAATTGAAATTTTGATTCCCAAAATTTTAGCCTATAGAAGTGGATAGAAAAATTAGCTTCTGAGTGAGAAATCCTACACATGCTAGCCAGCAACTTGAGGAGACATGGACAAAATGTGCCAGGAGAAATAGCCAAGCACCATTAACATTCAATATTTGTTTCCATCTACCTCATTTTGTATTGCTTCTTGGATTTTCCCACCATTAACCACAACCATGATTACTTAAATTCACTTTATTTTCTCTTCTAGCTGTATAAACCTAACCTTGTGGGGGACCAAGGCTTCCCTCTTGCTACTTTATTGTCCCCTACCAATTTCTTCAGTCACTTTAGCTACTAACAACACATTAGCAATATCACAACAATGCCTCACCATATCTGGCACAGAGTTGCATGATGAGATACATGCTTTCGTAATTAAGTCCATGAACCATTTCATGACGAAAATGTAACTAGTTGATCAAGAAACAAAACAAATTAGGTAGGGGACCAAGGCCTGTTATGTGCAATGTTGGCTGTGTTTTGCCTTAAGTGCTAAGGTCATTTTAAAACCTTAGGGGCAATGAATTACATTAAATATTCCCCTTTGGGGACCTTGTATTAAATTTAACATTTAGGGTCCAAATCAATAAGTTGCTTAGCATTTATTATGGTATTCTAGTTTCAACAGACATAATGCATTGTGACCTTGCAGTGTAGATATTTAGCACCAGTTCAGCAACATTAGAGTATTTAAGATGCAAAAACATACTAGTTCTAGATGTTCTTGTTTGTTACCGACAAAGACCTTGTATTGTCTAGTGAAAAAATGAACTTAGATTCAGAATTACTTGCATAAATTTACCATTTATAACTGTGATAATATGAGAAAGAGTTATAGTCTAATGAATTCTGTTTCCAACAAAGTTCATTTCCCTAACAAACTTTTGAGAATATCATAAATTTTAATATGCATGGATTTAGGCCACCACTCTTGGGAAATCTGCTTTGTTTGTATGCAAACACCATTCATTTTTTCAACCATTAATGCTAAAAAATCAATAGTGCTGTTAGATTCATGTTTACAGCCTAGAATGAACTAGAGAACTCCTTAACTTTCTCCTTTTCCCCATAAACATGGTCATTGTAATTGTCTAAAATTCTTGAATAATTTGTTCTTGACATGTTTGATCCAAGTTCTAAAGAAACATTATTTATATGGACTTGCTAAAGAGTAATCAACCTAGGTATAAATTTGGACTTGTTTGTTATCTATTGTTGTTGGGGGGTTTTAGGCAAGATTCTAAATCAGTGCCTTCTTCATTGGCTAACTTTAGGAAATTGTCAATATCTCTGGCATGGACCAAGCTCCCATTTCTTCTGTGGAACCACTTCCTGTGTGGTTTTGGTTTCTTGTCACTAATTGCAATGGTTATGTCGTTAGGAAAGAGGTCTCGGAGGACAAAGGCATGGATTATAGTTGTTACAAGCAAAGCTATTACCATGACTGTGGCAACTACTGAAAATATAACAGCCAGAGTTTGATTTCCTACATTTGTGACTACACTTGAATATTTGATACTTGCTGTGGCTGCACCAGTCATTGGAAAAGTGTATGCCCACCAGGCTAATGAAAACCTATAAAGTGAAGTGAATAGAATTATATCGCATTCAACTAATAAAACTAGACTACAAGGAAACAAGGAAAGTGGTTAAGAAAGGATACTCACTTAAATCCACGAAAAAAATTCACCCGAACAGCCTATAGAACATAGCAAAAATAGTAGAGTTTAGGATTTTGGTAATCAATCCTTTGAATGATAAGTGCAATACAGAATCTAAAACATCATTGATTACAAAAATAGAGACATATTTGGTAGTTTCATGCTCATATCTCCCAATCTTGAAACATTATTGAATATGTAAAAGGTATATATGTAGGTAGACTTACCAATGAAAAATAGAGGAACAGAGCAACGAAGTAAGCAATTCGAGATCCATGATCGAAGAAGCCTCGAATTTCTGCCCATGCCAAGGAAGCAGCACTTGGAGCTGCTACAAAGAGGAAGAATACAGGATGGAGTTCTTTTGGGAGTGTTTCATTAGTTGGAAGTCTTTGGTATAGAGTCACAAACAAAACAATGTAATGAGCCAACCCAACAGCAAAGAAGAAAATAGGCCCTTCTTTTAACCCCATTGAAGCACCTAACATTGCCCCCACAAAGTTGCCAATAATTGAGAGATGGTTTGAGGGATTAGCTACCTTGGAAAGCTTCCTCTGCCCACCAGACATCCACTGACCATAGATCTTAAGCTCGAGACATAAGATCGGAATCATGAGGAAGTACCAGAGAGCTTTAGGTAAGTTTTCAGCAACAATAGGTGGTACTCCAAGACATAATAACAAGAGGACTATCCAAGGGGCAAAGAAGAAATTGACACGAATTGGGTGAAAATACTCACGTCGAACTGCTTCAAAGAAGAAGATCACTTTAAGAAGATAGATGGTGAAAACAATGGCTAAAAGAGCAAGAGAAATGCACCAAAGGATGCGGTTTACTTCAAAATTTATATGGAGGAATTTTGTGGAGGGAGCTGTGGCAAGTGCTTTCCATAGGATGGCTTGGCTACTAAGTCCTAGACAGATACCAAATGAAGAGATAGGAAACCTGAGAAGGAATGGCCAAGTCTTGTCATTTGGTAGCACAATTTCCTCTGAAGGCTGTAAAATGAAAACAAAGAATTCATTTAAGCCCTTGGGAAAGCAAGGAAATGTTTATGTTGGCTTGTAGTAAAACGAAGATAAGCACATACCCGAAGAGTTTCCAGTTCAGGTCCTTCTAATGCATCAAAATATCTGTCTACAGGCAAAGCTTCATTCTCAACATTTTGTGGCTTTCCCCTTAAATTTGATATCTGCTTTTCAAGTTTCCTAGACCATGTCTTGAAAGAATCAAATCTCGTATCCTTCAACCTTTTAATACTGGGATGATGGTTCAAGTTTCCAACTTTAACTGGCTCCTTAATGACCGCTCCTTCTGTCATTAATGGTTTAGAATAAAACTGCACTTGTTTTAATAATCTTTCACCTGTCTCAAGTTTAACAGAAGGATCTAGAATTCCATCATGGTTGGCAAAATTGTTGCTCTTTGATGTGGCTTGCATGGGAGAAATAGGCTTACTAATTGAAACTGAGTGTTTCAAAACTTCAATAGGCTGAGATTCATAAGTAGCATTCAAGACCTCAAACGTCTCAGTAACCTAGTGTGAATTTTTACAAGAAACATATTAGAATCTACCAGATATATCTTTTTTTCCTTATTTTGTTATGGAAAACGATTTGAATCATATCACTAGCAAGAACAACATAACTAAAAAACATAAACAAGCAAAAACAAAACAATGTTAAAAGAAGAAATAATCCTAAAACTAACAATATCACTAAAAATCCCATTTTTTTTTTCTTGAAATTAATACTAGAGTTTACCATAGCAGATGAAGTGCAAGGCTGAAAGCTACTATTCTGTTTGATGTTGTTGAAGCCAAAAACCTGATTTGATGATGTTAATTCAAGAAATGATGGGAGAAGTTCAGGTTCAAGATGATCTTGCTGTCTAGAAACCAAATAACTGTTGTTTTCCATCTGTGACATGCCCTCTCTAGAGTAACAAGAAGATTCAATATCAAAACACATACTAAATCAAGCATTGAATCCAAAGAGACCAGAAAAAGCATGGTAGCATAGAATATATCCTAACCTCAAAGAAGTGGTTGCTTTCCTTTCACAATGGAGGGTGTCTAGAAAATGGGCAAACAATAAATAGAATCAGAAGATAAACAAGTGGAGGATGCACAAAACAAGTTGACCACTATGTTGCAAGAAAACAAAAGAGATACATATTTAAGGAAGAAAAATGTCAAAGAACTGCAACTAACATACATGTTTTCTCCCAGCCACTTGAAGCAAAATGTATTTAAGAAGAGAAATCATCTTTCTTGTCAAACAATTACATCAAGTGCAGTCAATTTATGTCATTTTTATTTGTTGCTGCTTAAATCATGGAAGAAAGTCAAAGGTAACACGGTAAATCCATTTCTAGTCTTCTTTATTACATCCAGTGCAGTCAATTTATGTCATTTTCATCTGTTGCTGCTTAGATCATGGAAGAAAGTCAAAGGTAACACAATAAACCCATTTCTAGTCTTATTTATTTAGTTTGATTGATTTACACTTGAGTTAGATCCACTTACGTATTAGTCTTGTATGTTATATTTATATAAAATTTTAATCATTAATTTTTTTTATTTTTAATAGTTAAAATTTATTTATTTTTTATTATATTTATTAAATATAATTATATTTTTTATCTAAAAAACTATAATAAATCTTAACTATTAAAAGTAAAAAGATAAATAATCAAAACTTTATATAAATATAATTTATAAAATTTATATATAAGTGAATCATAGTCTTTGCACTTTCTCTTTTCTTAATCACCAAATTAGGCCTGACTTTATTATCTAAGAAAACACACTAATTAATGCTGTTGATCATCAAAAGAAAAGATTGCCTCTCACCAAAGAAATAAAATAAGATTAAAAAACTTGTGCTTCTGTTATTTAGGCCTTCCATTGAGGATTAGGAATTTATTAAAAGGACCAAATCTCAGCAAGATTTACTCTGTTCTTTTTGGTTTGCAACAATTAAACAATATATTGGTGACTTAAACTTGAGTAGCATTAAGGTTAAGCAAATAAGCAGCCAAATCATCAAATTGAAATGTATGGAAAAAAGGGTCAAATCTAAATCTCATAAATACCTCCTAAGCAAGATGTTAGAAATTCACACGTAAGTGTGAAGTCTCACGTCAGAAAAGATAATAAAAATAAATAAAATATATTTGTTACGACAAATGAATCGAATAGACTAGTTTTTTATTTTTTTGAACAAGTTGTTAAGGGGTGGCTCGAAATTCACCCATAAAGAAAAAAAAATACACTTTAAATTGACTGAGTGTCAGTTGACCCACAAAGCCAAATGCGAACAGACTAACATTTTTAGTACACGACAATGTTTGAAATATATGTATATATGTACCTTCCTAGTTTAATTCAATAATTGCCTTTTTTTTTCCTCTTTTTTTTTTAACAAGGCAATTGGGGAAATGGGAAATAGGATTGAATTTGAGACTGCAACTCACGGAAAGTAGTTCCCATTAAATCAAAAGACTTGACAACTAGGTCAAGGCGTGGGATCATATTCAAGACCTATATCTAAGTACCCGTGGGATAAAAATGACTTGGAGGTGTGTGTACCTAAGGGGAGAAATGTCATCATTTATATGGTCATAAAAACGTGCATATAAATGAGACTTTGAAAAATATAAAAATAAAAAAAGAGATTTTTTAACTTATGATTTTTAAGGTAAAGGGTAAGGATGTCAACGGGTC